TACGGTGAAAATTGTTAAAATTTCAAGTGATTTTTGTGCACGATTACAATACTTTCTCTATATTTCGTATATACGAGAAAGTAAAATTAATACAGTACAAGAAAAACATTTTTTTTTTAAATTAAGACATGGCAACCTAAAGCTAAGGACGTGTTATTATCTTAGGCTTATTTCTGTTGTCCATCGAGGAATAAGTGGTTTTGACATGAGCCATTATCCTTATGTCGGGAGCCGTATTGACTAGAGCCAAAATAACGAGCCTTTTTGTCAGGAACCATATTGACGGGAGCCAATTTGTCGCGAGCCTAAATAACGGGAGCCTATATGACGGGAGCCACATAGACGGGAGTCAATTTATCGTGAGTCAGAATGACCGGAGCCTTTTTGTCATGAGCCAATTTAACGGGAGCCAATTTGACGCGAGCCTAAATGACGGAAGCCCTTTTATCAGGAACTATATTGACTGGAGCCCTTTTGCTGGGAGCCCTTTTGTCTGGAGCCATTTTTGTCGTGAGCCTAATTGACTGGAGCCTACATGACGGGAGCCTAAATGATATGAGCCAAATTGTCGGTAGTCGTAATGACGTGAGCCTATTTGTTAGAATCGTTATTGACAGGAGCCCTTTTGTCGCGAGCCTTATTGACGGTAGCCCTTTTGACTGGAGTCTAAATGACGGGATCCATTTGTCTATGAACCTTTTGTCGGGGTCGATTTGACAGGGCTATTTTGTCGGGGCAGTTTTGTCCGGGTTGTTTTGACGGGGCCGTTTTGTCCAGAGTTTCTTTCAGGCATCTCTTCGGGCGGGCAAAGCCCCCCCCCCCCCCGAAATTTTTGTACCGCCCCCCCCCCCCCCGAACGAAATGAAATTTATATAATTTATATAGAAAATATATACTTTTAACAGTGTCCGCCCCCCCCCCCCCGAAGAAAGTCTACCCCCCCCCTAAAATTTCAAGTGCCCGCCCCACGGAGAAAAAAGTCTGGAAGAAACACTGGTTTTGTCACGGACCGGTTTGACGCCGCACGGTCAAATGGACGTCACACTCATTGGGGGAGGAGGGGGGGGGGTCGTAATTTTGTAACTGCGTGTGTGATGAGGGGCAGGGGGGGGGGGGTTTCAGATGGTGCGACGTCACACTTTTGCATTATAAAAAACATGTTAGAAAATGAATTTTAGATGTTATTTCACGTTTTAGAAAACTGTTTTAATAAATTGCAATAGGAATTGATTAAAATACTCTATTTTGACAGAGTTCAGACAAGACTTTGGAAAAATATAGATGTCTTAAGAAAAATTCAACTGCAATTTTGAAGGGGGTTGTAGGCTGAGGTGTGACGTCATTTTAGGGTGGGTGTCTGACTTTTTGTGACAATGTGTGACGGGGGGGGGGGGGGGGGGGGGAGGTAAAAATCGTCATAAAAAAAGCGTGACGTCATTTATAGATGACCCCAATACACCTTTTGGTGCTATTTCTTTTATCTTGTGGTTAGGCAGAATCTCAGATGAAGAGATCACACTTAGAATTGGAATTTTAGATGTTCTAGAAGAAGGAGGCCCTGTTCTTGCGGACAGGGGTTTCACTGTTCTGAACATGAGTTTGATAAAAGGAAAATTTCACTAGTGACATCTGTCTTCTCAAACAGAGTTTCTTCCAGGCAACTCTTTGTGGGGGGGGGGGGGGGGCAGTTTAGCTTCCACCTTCCCTGAACAAAATGGAATTTATATAGACAATATATACTTTTAACAGTGCTATCTCTTCCCCCCCACCCCCGAACATTTTAGTCTGCCCCCCCAATAATTTCAAGCGCATCCCCCCCCTCTCCCCCCCCCCCCCCCGAAGAAAAAAAGTCTGGAAGAAACACTGTTCTCAAAGGACACAGTCCAGTTCTCATTAGATGAGCCTAGTGAAAATAAAATGGTTTCCTCTCTCAGATTTTATGTTGAGAGAGCAGTTAATAAAAAAATTAAAAATCTTACAGAATGTAATCCTTGCTTCATTTTTTTTTACCTAGAAGAAACATTATGTATGTGCCTTTCTGTGTAATTTCTCTGAGAATCCATTAATTTGTGTTGAATTATTGTCAAAAACAGATTAGTGAACAATGTTGTTATAATGTATTTTTTATTTTAAAAAATCTAAAATAAAAAAAAATGCAACATTTTCTGGCAAATATTCACAATTATTTACAAGGTATCCAAACTAAGAGTGCATTTTAGCTAGTTTTTACAATGTTTAGATGCATACAATCATTGCTTGTTAATGTAGGCAAGTAAAAATCAAAATCTGAGAGTTGAAATTAAAACTCCAAAAAGCTGCATCAAAATTAATTGTTTCTAAGTAAATAAGTATGCTATAGTAAAAAAATAAACAGAACAAGCATTTATATAAGTTAGAGCAAAATAGCTGGTATTTGATCTGATGATACAATTTGTTAGCTTATTTCAAATGACATGAATTTAAAACTGTAGGATATTCTAAACAAAAATCTTTTCATTCAGCACACAATTGTTGTAAACTTAAGACTTAGGGGTTGAGACACACTATAATTCCAACCAGCTTGGAGACGTCTTCAGTAAACAAAAGACCATCAGGGGAGGCTAGCAGCAAGAAAAGGAAATAAAGGGTGAACAACTGAACCTGTGCTTTGGAAATTTTGAACTTAATATCTTTTTTTACCATGGGTTCCAACTTTCTTCCCAATTGTACTGGGGCAAAATAGAAAATTGATTTAGTATGTTGAACAAGTAAACTTGCTGCACATTGTTTTTGTCGGTGATATGCAGAATTGTGTGGACATTTGACACTTATCCTTTTTTTTTCTTTCATTGTGCCAATCTGTAGTATCTTGGCCAATAGTGTTTAGAAAAGTATTTTGGCCAATAGTGTTTAGAAAAGTATTTTGGCCAATAGTGTTTAGAAAAGTATTTTGGCCAATAGTGTTTAGAAAAGTATCTTGGTCAATAGTGTTTAGAAAAGTATCTTGGCCAATAGTGTTTAGAAAAGTATTTTGGCCAATTGTGTTTAGAAAAGTATTTTGACCAATTGTGTTTATTTCTGACTGGCGCAATTCTGATAGATTTTTATTGCACACTTCCGAATGATACAGGCATAAACAAAAGATCCTTATTTGGAGCCTGTGATTTTACCCCTGATAACACAAGGGTTGGCACAGGAACTGGAAAAAACAACCTTCAAAACATCCACATTGAAAATGGAGTTGATGCTTTAAAATTTTGCCAGCATATTCATGTTAACCATTGTCCCAGAGTTACAATGGTATTTATTTTCTCTCTGTAGCATTTCAGAGTACTTTTTTGATGAAATTTTAACACAATTTGGCTGATACCAACTTTGTAGTTTTTCTGTTGGTGCCATAATGTATAGCTCTTTCCAACTGCAGCCAATAGCGTATCAGCTATTTGTAAAGTAAGATTGTAGTTTTTGATTATATTAAAATTTGATTTAAAGGTTTTTATTTTTACAACATGGCTATTTAAAAAAAGAAAAAAAAAAAAACTAATTACAACCTAAACATAATCAGCCTACAACCATAAACAGCCTAAAGGATTTTAGTTGTTTGCTTGGAAGGTGATGAAGGTTTATTAAAATAAATGACAAAAAACTTAAAGACCTACACCTAAAACAATATGTTTACAACAAACATAATACAGAATGAATAAGGACTAAAATTATGCATTTTTATTTTTGTGTGGGCCAAAGTAGGAATGGAAAAAGAATGTACAGTAAATTCATGAATCAATATGATAATTTGCCTATTATATGATCTGAAATCACATGAAAATAGAGGAAACTATCAAAATAAAGTTATAATAAAACAAATGGAATGACGGAAAATATATATAAAAATAATGACATCATTTATTATAGAAACAACAATATCACCCTTAATTATTTGGCTAACATACAGCATATGCATAAATGAAACAAGGCATATATGATTAACACAATAACAAAAAAAGTAAAATAAATACATAATGTTAGGATCAGGATTCTGGTAGTAATAGGGATATTAAGGATATTAAAACTTAAAAGGTTAAAATTAAGGTTCAGGTCCAGAGAAAAAAAAAAACTATCAGCATTGCAAATTAACTAGAAATATAATAAAAATGTGTAACTAAATGAGTATTTTTGCAAAGTTTTCTATACAATACTACTGATCCAAAAGGCTCAAGTACAAACCTAGGGTTAAAATTCATTTGTCATCCCTGAGTCCACCCAGCTCAAATGGGTATCTGACTCATGTTAAGGAAAGTAAAGGCAGTTGGACTTAGTGCTGACAATACTATCCGTCCTCTGCCAAGGTCACTGAAACAGGTGAACTCTATTTCACCTGCTCCATAGACTTTCAGGTTCAAAAAGATACTTTTTGTTCTATACAATAATATCTCTTATTAAAAACAAGTAGGATAAAAAGGTATAAATAAAGTTGGTTTAATTAAAGTGTACCAGCAATTGTTTCTCCTTTACTGACAAAACTCAGAACAAAAGATCTCTGACATTCATGCTTGTAAGATGGGTTATGAATGTCATGATTGAAATCCCCTTCAATATCACATTAAACAAAATTGTAAGCTACATCTTGATAGAAATCCCATTCATTATCACATTAATGTACCCTTTAATATCACATTAAGTGTTGTTATTATATATTTATAATGTTAATAAATCTAAAACTAAAAAAAACAGTGCAACATTGTCTGGCAAATATTTACAATTATTTACAAGGTATGCAAACTAAGAGTGCATTTTAGCTAGTTATTTACAATGCTTGAACATGAATTACTATGTTTAGATGTCATGATTGAAATCCCCTTCAATATCACATTAAACAACATTGTAAGCTACATCTTGATAGAAATCCCATTCATTATTACATTAATGTAGATTGTAAGCTACATCTTGATGGAAATACCTTTTAATATCACATTAAAGAACAAAGAAGATTGTAATCTACACATCAAAGTTGTCTCTAAAGTTTAACCAATCCTAAAAGCTATAAAGTAAAGTGTCCCAGGAATTTTTTCTTCTTTACTGACCAACCTCAAAAACAAAAGATCGCCCACATTCATGTGTATCAAGCAGGTGTTGGAGCCCGTCGTGCCTTGCGATTCACAAAACACGGATATCAGCTCCTTCCTGGTGATGCCCTGTTGTCTGACCAGTTTAACCCATATCTTGCTGGCTTCCTCCAGTCTGACAGCTAGGCTTGTGAAGTACAAGCCTGGGACTGGTGCAGTGAATATGCCAGTTAGAGGGTTAAAATATGGGCAGGTGTGGGAGACCCAGGTGAAGTTGGCTATTACAGGAGACTGTGTCGGCTGGTCACCTAGGTAGAGGGAAGCGGAAAATCCTGGAGGGTCTTTAGGGTGATGGGTGTCTGTAGAAGATTTAAGGAGAAAAACTCTACATGTGAGATTTATAACAGTAAATATTGTGCAACATTGTTTTCTATAGAAGGGGAAGCAATGGTTATAGAGAAAATATATTGCATGTGAGATGTTAATGACTGAAAAATACTATGCAACCTTTGGGGTGTGTAGGAGGGTGTCATGGTTGAAGAGAAAATTAATACAAGTGAGATTTATACAACAGAACATATTGTGCAACATTGTTTTCTATATGTAACTAGTGGAGTTACCAGGGACGATAAGAACGTATTACAGTCTGTCAACTTTGACATGACCAAGGCCAAACTGGGCTGACGCAACAGTGCAGGTGGTCTAATAATCGGATTGTACAACAGAGCTGCGCAATTAATATTCTGATGCAACGATTAGAATCGATTACGAATACGATTACGAATACGATTACGAATACGATTACGAATACGATTATGAATACGAGGAGATAAAATAGGAAGGCGACAGTTGAGAACGGGGGCAGTATCAAGTTGGTTATTGAACGGTGTAGACGTGTGTGTTAGGATAGGAATTATGGACACGTGCATTCTGTTATGTGAGGACTAGTGAGGACAGTGGGGGTCAGTTGGTTCATTTTATTCTTGTGGAACATTGATGCATTGTTATGTAGAGCATTTCTATTGATTCATGTAATAAAGAGATCAATGTAAACCTGCATTTCCGAGTATTGTGGTCGATGTTGTGTGCTGGTCAAAGGTAGCACGAGTAAATACACTCGGTAACATTTGGCTCTGTCAGCAGTGAAATCGGTAACATTTGGCACTACAAGCAAATAGACTCGGTAACATATAGAAGGGGAAGCAATGGTTAAAGGGAAAATATTTGCATGTGAGATACATTATATAAGAGAAAATATTGTGCAATTTTTTAAGTATGTTGAAGGGTAAGTCATGGTTAAGGGAAAATCAAAACGTGAGATTTTTATAACAGAAAATATGGTATGATCTTTGTTTTCTGTAGATGGAGAAGTCGTGGTTAAATAAAAACAGTTTGTTAAATAAAAACAGTTTGTTAAATAAAAACAGTTTGTTAAATAAAAACAGTTTGTTAAATGCTTTCACTAAACAACAATCATTTACTCAACAGTGTTTTGATAGCAAAAAATTAAATTCTTATAAACAATCTCAATGGTTTTTTTTACAACTGCTAGTTAATCTGTGCAATGTATACATGGTGTTTCTAATCAAACATTTTAAAAAACATCAAGTTGACAAAATTTTAACAAGGAATATCAGTTATATGTTCCTGTAAATAGTCCATCATTGCAAACAGCTTAATTCTCTTTGATCCAAACAGATGTTCCATCTGTTCGTCACACAACATATATTTTTTGTCATTAGGATCCTGAAGATTCCTCTCCTTCACTATAGACCACAAAGTCTTCACAACCTCCAGCCTTGGCATCTCATTTTTTCCCACAACAGCAGCTAACTGATCAGACAAATGGCACGGGCGAAAATAGAGCGATGGTTTCTTCTTCTCATCTGGGTCTTTTTCCATCTCTTTTCCAGCTCTCCTACTTCTCAGGCCTATTTCTTCTTCTTGAAATGTTTTGGCAAATCCTTCATCGTCCATAAATGGGTCCTCAATGTCATCTGCCTTCGTTGCTGATTTCCTTTTCTTATGTTTAGCACTGGATGTGGTGGGTTCTGACTTCTTGGGTTCCGTTTTTGTTATGTGGAGTGCTTAAGTTTAAATAGTATTTTTTTGTTAGAGAAACACGAGTGAAATATTCGCAAACTTATTACTTGCAAGGTAATTAGAACTACGGGGGCTTCATTGATAGTATAACTAAAAAATTATATTAAATTAACTTGAAAGTTAATTTCTACAATAAATTAAAATAAATACCTTAATTTATAACAAAATTCTTACTTAAACGAATGCTATACTTTGTCATTTTCTGTTTTAGTTGAAAATAGTATTAAATTAATTTGAAAAAAATTGATTACTTTTTAAAGTTACCTCCCTTGTACACAGACCCCATGTTTACTTTTTTCACACAAAAAAAAAACTGCTATGCTTTTATAGGAAAATATGACAGTGGGCTAATCTAACGGCCTTCAGGAGTCTTCTGATGGGCAAATGAGTTCATTGCCTAGACTTAAAACCAAACTGCTACTCATACGGAAACTAACAAGAGGATTGCACCAGGGAGGGGAGGTAAAGGCCTCATGAAAACCCACAGGTCTTGGGACTGGGTACTTGGGTGAGAGAGATGCTGGATTCTTCAACGCTCAAGCATTGCTGGCTATGCCAATCAAACACTATCATCTGTGTATGGTTCAGTGAAACTATCTATGACAATATCAATGATGACTAGCCTTCTTGAATAACTCAGTGATCAGATCTATGACAGATACAGAGATATCCATTCACATGGGGTGTGTTGGTTATGCTCATTTAACACTATTAACAGAAAAGGAGAGGAAGAGAGAGAGGGAGAGAGAGGTATTACGCAATACTTACATAAAGATTGCAATTCTTCACTCATATGTGAAAATTCAGTTTTCAGATCTTGAAGCTGTAATGGAATAAGGCATTTAATTTTAATTACATGAAGGTGAAATATAACTACATGAACATGTAATAACAATATTTAATAGATAACAGAATCAGTTTTCAGTACTTCATTGAATGTTTAAAAATACAACAATTAAAATTAAGATTCGAAAATTTGTTATAATTTTGTTGTTATAATTTGATCATTATCATACATGTGCTATGATGCTATAATTGAGGATCCAGACAAAAGGCAGAGTAGACACCAGGCCAAGAGTTATGTTTTTTAATTAGACCTTACACTAAATTAGTTTAATAAAACAAGCAGCTCCAATTAGATACATTTTTAGTTTTTGTATAACAAGCGACAAGCAAGGGCTAAGTGGCCAATTTGGCCAAATTGAAGAGGGCCATCCAAAAAAGCATCTAGTGGAGAGGTTTAGATTTAGTCCTTTGCTCCTCAGGGGCCTCACAAGAATAAGCTACAAGTTTGGTAACAATAAACTTAAAGTAAACCATTTTGAAAAAAATGGCTTGTCATTGTTTACACGGCTTTCCCTACTTGCTTGATTTTTTGTTTTGTGTCTTTCTATTATTCTTTCAATATTTAGTAATTTCTTTTTTGTTTTGTGTCTTTCTATTATTGTTTCACTTTTTAGTGATGTCTTTTTTGTTTTGTGTCTTTCTATTATTGTTTCACTTTTTTGTGATGTCTTTTGTGTTTTGTGTCTTTCTATTATTGTTTCAATTTTTAGTGATGTCTTTTTTGTTTTGTGTTTTTCTATTATTGTTTCACTTTTTAGTGATGTCTTTTTAGTTTTGTGTCTTTCTATTATTGTTTCACTTTTTAGTGATGTCTTTTTTGTTTTGTTTCTTTCTATTATTGTTTCACTTTTTAGTGATGTCTTTTTAGTTTTGTGTCTTTCTATTATTGTTTCACTTTTTAATGATGTCTTTTTTGTTTTGTTTCTTTATATTATTTTTTCTCTTTTTATTGATGTCTTTTTTGTTTTATGTCTTTCTATTATTGTTTCACTTTTTAGTGATGTCTTTTTTTTGTGTCTTTCTATTATTGTTTCAATTTTTAGTGATGTCTTTTTTGTTTTGTGTCTTTCTATTATTGTTTTGCTTTTTAGTGATATCTTTTTTGTTTTGTATCTATTATTTTTTAACTTTTTAGTGATGTCTTTGAAAAGGGTATCAGCTTTTGTCACGAAGTTAGTGTCAGATGTAGATTTCATTATCATTTGAGAAGGTAGGCTTTAGTTTCCAGCAACAATAGTCTTTTGACTATGTCAAAGTTTCTCAAACCGTGTCCTCGCTGGCTTATGGTGCATGGTAGTGTTCACTAAACTTTCCGTGTAATATTACAGAAAATTGTGCAAGCCAGAGTGGGGCTGAAATCTGCAATTTTTGTGCAACCAAAAATTTCAAAGGGAACATTCCCAATTTTGCAAATCTGTTGTTTTTTTTTTAATTTGTTCTCATAACATAGCCATCCACACCTAATTTTCCTGAGGCTTAATGCAATAAGCAGTAATGAGAAACATATATTTTTTGAAAATATCTGGATAGAACAAACTTATTCTGTACAGAACAACATTGCTTTACCTTGCTCTAGACCAGGGGTTCCCAACCCTGTGCCCGCGGGCGCCATGACGATTCGTATGTGCCCGCCTCTCACTATTCCACAGAGACAGAATTTTTTTCATAAACATTATTTTAAAATACGATTTATTTTTATTCATTTGTTACAGTTTTAATTTTTTTGACTGCCTAGGTTTATTAAATATGTTTGATACTTGTCCCAACTTGTCTAGCGGCGAGCCAGACTGCACTATTTACGCTAGCCTGGAACGGCTAGTGCCATTTGCACATCACACCTTGTACACGCAGAAAACCCAAAGTGAACGAATGGAACGAACGCCGCGAACTGATCCGATAAACGCTGAAGGCGCCAAATCACAAGGCCAATAGTTTCCTTCTGTATCAATCCTTTTACTTGCCAAATAAATGTTATGGAAATAGCCGCATGTATGGCAGATTTTGTTCAAGGTAAGACAGAAGAACTAGAGTTAAAAATTTTGGACCTTAAGGACGATATTTTGCTCAAATCCTTAATGTCAGAGGACTTTTGGAATACAGTGGATAGAGAAAAGTTCCCATTGTTGAAAAAAGCGGCATATAAAATTGAATCATTTTTCGGTTCGACATATTTATGCGAATCATTGTTTTCAAACATGAACTTAATAAAATCAAGATATAGATCTCGACTCACCAATGAGCATCTTTATGATTGTCTGCTAACAGGATTATCGTCATACGCTCCTAATTATGAAGCTCTGGCCAATGAAATGCAATGCGAAAGATCACATTGACTTTATTATATTTTTTAATTAAATGTTTTCTTTGTATTTATGTGTTTTGTTTACTTTCTTAACGTTTTGTAAATACATTTCTCTGTGTGTATGCAATTTGAAAAAAATGCCAAATAATTTTATTATTTTGAAACATTTTTGTTTATTATTTATTAATACATTATGACTATAAGAAAATAAGAAAATAAACTATGGGAAAATGACAAGTTATAAAAGGAGTTTGTCGATTTAAAATAGGTGGTGCCCGCCATCCTACCGATATTTTAGAATGTGCTCTAGAGTAAAAAAAGGTTGGGAACCCCTGCTCTAGACAGAACAAACTTATTCTGTACAGAAGAACATTGACTTACCTTCCTTGAATTCTCTCCTCTAATTGTAGGACCTAACTGGTAACATTTGACCATCTTTTCTATGGGTGTCAGTCTCTGCTGCACAATGTTACACATAACACCATACTATATGTGATGAAATAATAACAGGAATTATCATTATGATCTGATAGTTTATATTGCTATGAATTGATTGTAAAGAAACTAGATTATTATTCATGTGATAGAATACTTTCATTATAATACAATTGGGGACGGTTGATAATAAACAATTTAATTTTTGTATAAGGCAACTAAATTGAGTAGTAAAATTATCTTTTAGAAATGAGGGCCCATAAAGCAAATGAATTAGAGTTCATCTATTTTTTCATACCATTGCATAAAAGTTAATTGTGTCAGGACAATGCCTAGCACCCTTTACTACCTATAGTAGTAAGGTTAGGTTGGCAAAGTTTTGGATTAGGATTAGATTGGAAGTTATCTCATTTAACTAGTGAAGTAAAAAAGTTCCATGGGGAAAGTGAAGTAGAGTTCACCTGTTTTTGTGACATATAAAAGAATAGTGTGGTCAGCAGTAAGCCGAGCAGCCTTTGCTTTCCCTAACATGAGCAAGGTACCCATCAGAGCATGGTGGACTTAGGGACATTGAGTTGAACCCGTATTTGAAATAGAGACTTTAGGGCTAGCAGTCTAGCGCTCTACAGCTAGGCCACGCCATCCCACAACCAGTGAAGTAAGAGTGGTCTTTGATGTTAGCTATAACAGCATACAGTAAATAAAAAGTTAGTAAAGTAAAAAATGTAAAGCCCAGTTTTTAGATCAGAAAGCCAAAGGGGCAGATGAATTAGTGTCTCAGTTATAGACCCAGTCACCTCTACCCAACTTGAGCCAGGTATTTATCTGAGCTGGGTGGGCTCTGGTGCATCCTCAGGACACATGCATACAGTCCAGTCTAGAGATTTTAGGTGTGAGTAATTATGTATTTTACCACAAAACCACACCATCACATGGGAATAATGTGGCTGTAGTGCACAACTACTAGCCTGAAAATTTTAGGTTTGAATCCCAGGCTCTAATTTGTCCACCCCCTCTAAAGAACATCAGGGCCAAATTGGTAAGTCTCTTCCTCTTATGCCAATACTTAATGTAAGGTAAAAAAGTTTTATCAACTAAATAGAAATCAGACACCAATTTAATCTTTTCTTAACTGGCTTACAACCCCAGCCCTTAATATAATGATGGTAAAACTTAACACCCTCAATGACCCAATAGGGAATTTTGGCCAGTAAAATTTGTTTAATTTCAACTGTCTCAGTGGTTGAGACTCACAAAAAAACCAAGTCTATATGTGTTAGCCAACTTAAAATTATTTTCTTTTAAATTTGTTATTTTTATGTATTTTGTTTCTGTCAAAGACTTAGTTTTAAAAAAATATGTTATGACATGTTAATAATTGTTAAGCAAACCTGTAAATTTAACTTGTCCAACTTCTCTGTGATGACATCTGTAGTATCTTTTTCAAGCAATTTGGCCACAAAACCTGCAGTTTTATCTGTCACCTTGATGTAACTCTCTGTCTTCTCTGATAGTGATTTGATCTCTTTTTTTACATTCTCATCATTCTTCGACACTGATAAAGTTAAATATTTCATCCTGCTTTTGAACTCAGTGATATTATCATTTAATGCTTGCACATCTTCTTGCATCTCCATTGTTTTTTCAATGTTATTTTGATCCTGTTTTTGTCTTTTAGAAAGTTTAGTAACTTTTCTCCCAATATTAGTTTTCCATTCATGTATATCCAACTGTTCTGATTGAATAGCTAGAGTTGTTTCTTTTAGTTCAAAAATAGATTTTTCAACTGAATCCAGTCTTGATTTTATAAAGGAAAGAGAATCTTCTGTAATAAAAAAAAAAAGGAGAGGATAGCATCTAGAGTCTAGAGAAGATGAAGTAGAATGTATCTTTTATTGTATGACCAGACAAAATATCCAATAAAGACCTGTAGCGAAATACAAAATAACAGCCCGTATACATGGACATTAAAGCCCACCAATGAGGATGGACAGGACATGTCCTGAGAAGGGAGAGAGAAAAAATTTGTGAAGAAAACATTAGACTGGAATCACTAGGGGAAGAGGAAAGTAGGCCGGCCAAGGAAATCATGGAGAAGGACAGTACAAAATGAAGCAAGGGCTACTGGGATTACATGGGAGCATATAAAGAGAGATGCTCAAAGCCAGTGGAGAGGTGTAGCTGCAGCACTTTGCTTCTCTGAGGCCACAAGTGAATAAGTAAAGTCAAGGTTATCTATCGTAGTAGGGGCATCGTTATGGTAACATAGTGACATCTTTATGTTGTGAGCAAGTTAAGTCAAAGTTATCTATAGAAGTAGGGGCATCATTATGGTAAGATAGTGACATCCTTATGTTGTGAGCAAGTCAATTCAAAGTCATCTATAGAAGTAGGGGCATCTTTATGGTAACATAGTGACATCTTTATGTTGTGAGCAAGTCAATTCAAAGTCATCTATAGAAGTAGGGGCATCTTTATGGTAACATAGTGACATCTTTATGTTGTGAGCAAGTCAATTCAAAGTCATCTAAAGAAGTAGGGGCATCGTTATGGTAACATAGTGACATCTTTATGTTGTGAGCAAGTCAATTCAAATTCATCTATAGAAGTAGGGGCATCTTTATGGTAACATAGTGACATCTTTATGTTGTGAGCAAGTTAAGTCAAAGTCATCTATAAAAGTAGGGACATCTTTATGGTAACATAGTGACATCTTTATGTTGTGAGCAAGTCAATTCAAAGTCATCTAAAGAAGTAGAGACGTCGTTATGGTAACATAGTGACATCTTTATGTTGTGAGCAAGGGAAAGAAACAGATGTTATGTAAGGAAAATGTGGCTAATTATACTGATCAGCTAACTTTACATGCCAAATGTATTGGCCAGTCACCTTTACGTATATTGTTTAAAATATTTGCTAGTCTTTACCACTCCTGGCGTGCCGAGAATCCATTATGGATGTTAGATTGAATAAGATTAATTTTTAAAACTCTGAGCCCTGTGTTTTTAATCTTGTTCCCTTTTCAAACCTGATGGTACATGGGACAAGTGAAGTAGAGTTCACCTGTTTCTAAACCCAGCCACCTTTACTTTCCCAAACGTGGACGGTACATGGGGCAAGTGAAGTAGAGTTCACCCGTTTCTAAACCCAGCCACCTTTACTTTCCCAAACGTGGACGGTAAATGGGGCAAGTGAAGTAGAGTTCACCCGTTTCTAAACCCAGCCACCTTTACTTTCCCAAACGTGGACGGTACATGGGGCAAGTGAAGTAGAGTTCACCCGTTTCTAAACCCAGCCACCTTTACTTTCCCAAACATGGACGGTACATGGGGCAAGTGAAGTAGAGTTCACCCGTTTCTAAACCCAGCCACTTTTACATTCCCAAATTTGAGACAGCTGGATAGACTGATGCGACATTCTTCTGACTTGAACCCGGATTGGAGCTTGAGACTTTCAGGTAAGCAGTTTAGCGGAATACTGCTAGACCGCACCATCCCATGTAGTACTGTACTTATATATCACACAGAACTGTCTTCTATGCATACCTTAATTTTTTCTTACACTGCTTGCAATGGTTTTTCTACCTTAGTTCAATGTTTATACTAACTTACAGTCAATGTAAAAATGGTAATACAAATAAATATAAAACAATGTAGATTTCACAAATAACATAAAAGTGGTAGCTGTGGTGAGGTTTATGCACATAGTAATAAAACAGATAGTGTTAGTATCACAATTTCAAGGCAATTACAGATAAGGGCCTATAATGGAAGTTTGACAAAGACCTTGGGTCAAAATGCCCATTGTACCTGTAATTGTCTTGAATTTGTGAGGATACTAACACTACCTGTTAATCTAAGCACAAATAACATAGGAGAAAATTACAAGACTACAGCAGAGTAATTATACCTGAAACAGGTTGGGTCATTGTACTCTCTTGTTGTTCTGATACTGTTTCTGCTGTTTTTGTTGATACTTCCTCTGTTTGATTGATATATAAGTGTTGGCCAGATCCTATGAGCAAACATATTTTATAGTTTAATAAATAATTTATTATATTTAATTATATTTTACTATCAAAACTGCAATACCAAGTTTCAATGTAAAGATATATCTTAAGATTGAGTAGTGAAATGTTTAATTATCAACTATAAAATCTTAAGATAGCATAAAAAAAGTTTAATTACCAGATATAATATCTAAAGATTGCATAAATAAAAGTTTAATTACTGGATACAATATATTAAAATTATGGGAAAAAGTTTTATCATCAGAGATTCCTTAAGATTGTGAAAATAAGAGTGGTATTTCCAGATATAATATATAAAGATTGCATAAATAAAAATTCAATTACTGGATATAATCTCTATGGTCTGAAGTAAAGCAGAGTTAGCAGACGATACTGTGGCCATGATTTCTGTTAGCTGAAGACTGTCAGATTGTTGACCCAACCATTCTCTCGTTTGTTTGGTTATCTATCAAAATAATTAAAATAAATCAATTAAGCTAATATTTTTAATTTTTTGTAACTACATTACATATAACTTTAATATTATTTTATGTTATTTAACAAATTTTTATGGTAAAAAAATAAATAAATGTGTATGCCAAAATTTTAAATAATCATATAAAGTCCTTAAGAACAAATGAAATTATTGTTTGAGAAATTTCTTAGATTAGGTAATGAGTTTAAAAAATAATAATTAAAAAGCACCCATATAATAGTAACAGCATATATTTTAAATTGATGAAAACAAAATATTAGATCACATGAAATAATATTAAACATAATATTAAAACACCTTAAAGCTAAGTAGAGATAAAAAAAAAAAGTTTAGCACTGGCCAAGCTCATTTTTGTTTCTAGATATAGGATAGCATGGTTAAATTGTAGAGAGATTGACAGCTAACCTGAAAGTTTGGGTCTTGGGCTAGAGTTGTAGCATGTCCCTGAGCCCACCAAACTCTGAATAAATTAACATTCATGAATAGGGGAAAGTAAAGGCATCTGGGCATAGTGCTGATTACACTATTCTTTCATTATGCTGAGGTCAAAGAAACAGGTGAACTTCACCTGCTGCCAGAGCCATCTGGTTTGAAAGGGTACTTTATTTTTTACTTAAGTTTAAGAAAAAGGTGTAGGAGTGGGCAAGTTGACTTTGCCATCTAGAAAAGCAGGACAATTGAAGCTCGGAGTGGGGTCGGGGTGGTCGAGTCGGTAAAGCTCATGGTTGCTAAACCGAGAAGTCTCAAGTTCGAACCCTTGGGCAGATGAGGCTCGTTAGCTGGGGACAGCCACTCTTCTAGGAGAGACAACTCCAAAATCAAACAACAGCTGCCTTGTAGTTTGTTCTTGGTTGGACAAAGGCTATGGAAGCAAATCCAAAAAGAAAAGCAGGCTGAAATCGGAGTCAATGGCCTCAATGGCACATAACCAGTAGTAGAAAATGTCCTGTCCACCTCATTGGTCAATGATATTCCTTATTTGCTATTATTTATTAGATAACAAATGATCTAGAATCTATAAGTTAAAGAAAAATCTAACAAAATACTAACTTGTTTAACATAATTTATTACAAGAGTTTGAAGGTTGTCCTGCTGTTCTTGTAAGGAGTCTAGAAGAAAATTCAAATGTTTCTTAGACTGATTAGTCAAGGCCATCTGCAAGATAAAACAAAAATTAGGAGGAATTTTTATACCAGTGTCCAATAATAGAATCTTCTTTAAAAAAGGGGTGTTGGGTTACTGGTTGTTTACTAAATACACACTTGGCTGCTAATGTCACTGCTAACCCTGTCCCTAACCAGAGTTTCTTCCAGGCATCTCTTCAGGGTCTAAGCGCCCCCAAAGAAAGTCTACCACCCCCCCGAACGAAATGGAATTTATATATATATATATAGGACATATACTTTTACCAGTGTCTGCCCCATCCCCCCCCCCCAGGAAAATGTTGTCCGCCCCTCCGAAAATATCAAGTGCCCCCCTAACCACCCCAACCCTTGTCCTACCATATGCCTAACCCTAATTTCTAACCATAAAATTAGTCGAGATTACAATACTACTAACAACCCAACACACCTATTTTTATGGAAGAGTCTGCAATCGGACATAGGTATCTAAAATTAATAGGCCTAGAGATTCTACTTGGAAAAAAAAATTTTAATATTAGGGGCCTATCTAAAGTTAAATAAAGGGCTTCCCACACCTTTGCCTCATATGCCAAGGTCAAGAAACATATGAACTCTACTTTATCTGCTCAATGGATTGCAAGGTGTAAAGTGTAATGTATTAAATAAGTATAGTATTAAATTAATAAAGATTTAATAATGATTCTTTACTTTTTTATCCACTACACACTGAAGTGTAACAGAGATGATATTATCTATCATATTACTGATATTAGTGATATACGGGTGGGCGGCATGTGGTGATACCGTGACTCTTATCAGCCAATGGCAATTATGATTATCAGCCTAATGATGGCCCTAACTAATGACTCATAATAATGAGCCCTATAATTATAATATTAATTTAATATTACTATTAAAATAATCAATTCTGAATTGAATTCTAAAATCTAGATCTAGACTCTAGACTAGAGTCTCGATGTTACGGCAATCTATCGTTTTAAGTACGTAAAATCGCCCGCGGCTTGTAATGTACGAAAAAGTTACCTCATTGTCAAGGCTTTAATTATACTTTAATAGAAATATATTATCATATGTTTGTGTCAAATATTATAGATAAATGAATAATAAACATAAATCAATGGCTAAATATATCAATATAGGCAAGAAATTAACTTTAAACAGCAGTGTTTGCGAGCAGGATTTGCTATGTAAAAAGTGGCCATCTGTAAGTTAGAGTGGCTTCCCCTGAATCTTGCGCTGTAAGTTTATGGTAAAAAAAAATAAACAAGATGGCTGCTATAGTAAATGAGCATGTTGTTTCTGTTGCAAACATCGCTACACTTCATTTATTACTGAAAAGTTTTAATTCAACTGTTTAAAAACAGGTACATAAATGAAACAAGGGAACATTTTGTATTTTTCAAATAAATCCTACTCAAAACGTTAAATAATTATTAAAATTTAAGGAGTCACCTGTTTTTCACATTACTAGTCGCGGGCGATTTTTACATACCTAACTGCCTAACCTCCTAAAGCGATAGATTAGGCCTACCAAAAACATTATTGATATTTTTTTATTAGATATCTAGATCTAGTAATAATACTAAAATTAAAAATACTAGAGTAACGAGTAGAGTCTAGTTCTAGATCTAGATCTAGATCTAGATTCTAGATCTTAATAAAATAATAAGTTAATATTATCTATCTAGTAGATAAGATGAAATGTATACTTAACTCTTAAAAGTAGTAAATCTAGATCCTAGAATCTAGATCTAGTAGTCTCGATATTATGATAAAGGAAAAACAATAAGCTTGCCTTAATAATTTATTAATTTAATTATTATTAACTCAATAAAAAAGATAGTGAAAGTGAAAGTAATGTATGAGAATACTAGTTTTAGTTGTTTCCCCTTACACCAAAGATTTTGCTGATTCGCATTATTAATATTTTTCCATCTCATCATCTTTCATCATCTTTTCTCCTTCGTGCCCAAGACGAATGGGGACAGATTAAGTAGAGTTCATATGTTTCTCACAAGGGGATAATGTGGTCAGCACTATGTCCAGCCACCTTTGTTTCCCTAACGTGAGTCAGGTACCCACAGAGTTTCTTCCAGCGCCCCCCCCCCCCTCCCCGAACGAAATGAAATTTATATAATTTATATAGAAAACATATACTTTTTACAGTGTCCGCCCCCCCCCCCCCCCACGAAGAAAGTCTACCCCCCCCCCCCCCCGAAAATTTCAAGTGCCCCCCCCCGGAGAAAAAAGTGTGGAAGAAACACTGGGTACCCATCAGAGCTGAGTGGACACACGGAGCTTCTACTTACGTAAACCCGGATTCGAATTCGATTTTCGGGTTAGTAGTCTAGCGTTCTACCGCTAGGCCACGCCTATTTTTCCATCAATGATCATTTAATCCACATAGGCATTTGCGTGATGTAAAATTATGACTTTTGAAAATTTTCCTCAATTTTTGAAACACAATATCTTTAACCAGTGACTGGTCAGTAAGTACGGGAACACAGTTAAATCTTGTCAATTCTTTTATTTTCCATGTTACAATCAATTTCGAATTTCAAGTGCCCCCCCCCCCACCCCCCGGAGAGAGAAAAAAGTCTGGAAGAAACACAGAACAATATGCAGACCAATTTAGTGTTCCGCCACAAGCAGTGTTTCTTCCAGACTTTTTTCTCCGGGGGGGGGGGGGGGGGGGCACTTGAAATCTTCGGGGGGGGGGGGCGGGGGGGCGGTAAACTTTCTTCGGGGGGGGGGGGGGCGGACACTGTTAAAAGTATATATTTTCTATATAAATTATATAAATTTCATTTCGTTCGGGGGGGGGGGGGGGGGGCGGTAAGAAACTCTGGCCACAAGGTCTGAATAATTTAATAAATAATCAATGGCTTATAATGAAATCCATTAGAGTATATCTATACTTTTCTATAAACAGTGCTTCTTCCGGACTCTTTTCTCCGGGATGGAGGTAGGGGGTAGGGGGGGGGGGGGCGGGGCTGACACTGGTAAAAGTATAGTTTTCTATTTTTTTTTCGTTTGAGAGGGGGGGGGGGTGGGGGCGGGGGGCGGTAGACTTTCTTCGCCCCCCCCCCCCCTTCCCCGAAGAGATGCCTGGAAGAAACTCTGTCTATAAGGCAAAGGACTTATTAGTAGTCTTTAACTATGAATGATGATAACAGTGTAAGAGCTACATTATCAAAAGTGCGTGAAAAGCGGTGTATTGAGGTGAAAGTTTATAGAAAATGTGATGTAAACCTATGAAATTCTAAAAGATTTTGTGAAAATAAAATATTGAAAAATTACCGGAAAAGTTAATAAAAACCCACGTATATATTCCTATATGTAGATTATATGAAATTGTGTCAACCTAATTAAAACCAAAGTTATCGTGTACACACATACAGAGACAGGTTTTTAGAAGTTGGGTCTGTTTCTTGAAGGTGTGAAACGTCAAGATGTGACAAAATCTTGATTTTGATTACTCGCATGATTACAATACTTAAATATTCAGGGCTCTATGATTTTTACAGAACAGAGCGTATGTCAATATCAGGTAAACAAACACATGCAAAATGTCGAGGTCAATATGACCTGGATGAAGCTCATTACTGCAAATTTAGTAATCTACTGCACACCAAGATTAGATAAGTTTGATGCAACAGTCACATGCAGCTTTGCCCAGTACCATACTTCATGCGATGAGATAACAACACACATATACATATGTGACATCAATGTTATCAGTTACCTAATACAACAGCCAGCACCAACAGGTAAATTTATCAGTTAATTAGGTATAATCTTATTTACTACATATTGCTATATTACATGCTTTATATGACATGTTTTAGACAATTAATTGGATGATTTTGAAACAACACCAATGATTTATTTTCCAAAAATTATAATTAATAATTGAAAAATTCTTAAATGAATCACACTACTGATATATGAACCAGATATTTGTTCATGATTAGATACTGTATTGTTTATTCACTAATGTTACATCTAGAATAAAATGATTTAATTTTAGTTATACTGTTTCAAAAACAAAATGGCTGAAAGTTCAAAAAGTTCAGGACAAGAGAATGGGTAAGTAAAAGTTTTTTTTATTACAATTTCTGAGTAAAGAGATTCACCCTTGTTGCGTGCATTTACCTATTTAAAACTCAAACTTCTTTATATCTTTATTTCTAGTTTTTAATTTAATTTTTTTGTTGGCATGGATCGGAAAAACTTCTGAGCGTAATTTTAAAATCTAATAAACATCCATATATAATTTTCTTCTTGGAGACGCTAGAAAACAAGCTGTAAGCGCGCTTCCTACCTCCCCACCATTACATGGTCTGGTGAGCTGTGGTTCACGCTAAATGTTTACATTCGTAGAGCCGGGTTTAGTGACGGCTATTAGGGGCAGATAATTTAGTTTGAAACGATTTTAAACTTAGGGGAGGTAACTAAGAGGAGGCTGCTTTCACGGGGGGGGGGGGGGTGTAGGGTAGGGTAGGGAGTAAGGAGGGAGGGGGTAGTATCGTCCTTAATGACCTACTGATAGTGTTTTAAAGGAAATATTTTCAGTGGCAGCATTGGTACTGTCGAATTCACAAATTATAAATTACTGAAAAGTAGAAAATAAAACAACTAAATAGCGGCGTATGATATGCCGCGGGTCGGCTCGTAGTAATAAAAAAAGAAGCGTATTACTATTAAACTAATTAAATATGGGTTTTAAAAATAGAATTATGTATTTATATTCGTTTTATTAATGTTTGTTAAAGACATACTCTTTTAAAAAAAACATAGTTAACGAACATGTCGTAACGTTTGTAGTGAGCCACAGGCACAGAAGAAACGTGAAAATTACCTGGACTGGGGAAGATTACTTCATGTCCATGGCCTTGCTGAGTGCCCAGAGAAGTAAGGACCCAAACACGCAGGTGATCCTCAGTTACCTGTAGGCTAGTGTTTTTAGTGGTGTCGCGAGGGTGGGGGACATCAAGGGCGGTAACCCAGGGTACAGTGTTTCTTCCAGGACTTTTTTCTCATGGGGGGGCATTGGATATTTTTCGGGGGGGGGGGGGGGGGGGGGGGGGGGGGTGGTCAACACTCCCCCCCCCCCCCCCCCCCGAAGAGATGCCTGGAAGAAAACTCTGCCAGGGTATCCACCCCACAACTTCCACTAATGACTTTGTCATGGAGGAATGTGTGTGTGGTGTGTGTGCAGAGAGGTAGCATTTTAAATATATATATATATATATATATATATATATAGTATATATATATATATATATATATATATATATATATATATATATATATATATATATATATATATATATATATATATATATATATATATATATATATATATATTTATATATATATATATATATATATATATTTATATATATATATAGTATATATATAGATGTGTGTGTGTGTGTGGTGTGTGCGTTTAATGTGTAGGTGAGTGTGTTTAGGCGCGGGTGTACGTGGCTGTGTGAGAGAGAAAAAGCGAGCGAGAGAGAGGAGAGAGAGAGGAGGAAAGAGAATACTGTTAATTACAATTGATCACAATACCTCCAGGTGGGAGCGTGCATCGTTAACAAAAGAAAACGCGTTGTGGCCACCGGCTACAACGGCATGCCGGACGGTTGCCATGACGACGAGATGCCGTGGTCAAGAGGAGAAGTTACAGATACCGAGTCCAAAACCTCCGTACGGTAAGACCAGAGTTGCTTCCAGGCATCCCCCCCCCCCCAAAAAAAAAAGGATGCCTGGAATGCCTGAAGAAAGTCTACCGCCCCCCCCCCCCCGAAACGAGATGGATTTTATATAGTAAACACACACTTTTACTAGTGTGCGCCCACCCCCCCCCCCCGAAAAAATGTTGACCGCCCCCCCCCCCCCCCCTCCCGAAAATTTCAAAATCTCCCCCCCCCCCCCCGAGAAAAAAGTCTGGAAGAAACACTGGGTAAGACTTAAACAATTGTACCACGCTGTTTACAACTGTTTTATTGGTGCCATTTAATACATGTAAACACTATGACATTTTGGATGTACAACCGTGGAGCCCACTGACCATCAAAGGGCTGTGACTACTCCTATCTTACGTACTCACTTTTGAGTGTCTCCCTTTACTTAAACACCGCAGCGTTTGCGATCCGGACTAAAGGCCGAGTGTACAAAAGGCCGACATGTTCAAAAGGCCGACTGGACATAAAACCGACATGTATAAAAGTCGACAGGACGCCGGCATGGACAAAACTAGAACCCGGACATAAGACAAAGAACAACTTTTAAAACACCGGCTAAAACAAGACTGCCTTGAAATTAAGCTTACTGGTATAAAAAATTCGCCTATTATCTAATTGTTTACTATTTATTTAAAAACAAGTTAGATAATGATGAAGTTAAAGTACTGCGTAGAAAAAGAAAAGAAAGAGTGTACGCTACGGCAGTTAAATTCGGCAGTTAAATTTCCGCAGTTATGTTCAATAATTTGCAGCGGTTATTACCTTCAGTCCGGAAGCGAGGAATACACGAAGAACAAACCGGTGTTAAGCCAGTTAGTCGGAGTCAGTGTTTCTTCCAGACTTTTTTTTTCCAAGGGAAGGGTGGCACTACATTTTCCGGGGGGGGGGGGGGGGGGGGGGCACTAGTAAAATTATGTTTTCTATATAAATGCCATTTCGTTCGGGAAAGGGGAAGGGGATAAACTTTCTTCGGGACAAGGGGGGGTGCACCCCTTGAAGCAAAGCCTGGAGGGAATTCTTGTCAGTTTGCCTGGCTAAGGGAGATAACCCTCTACGCTAATTATGGGCATTAGTAAAGAAAAACGAAAAAAAAAGTTTATTAATTTTGTTATTGCCTTCTTTCTCTACATACCGTTTCTTTTTTCTTTACTATTTATATATCTCCAACAAACGCTATATTTATATCAATTTTAACTTTTATGTTACTTTAAAAAAATATTTCTGAAGCAAACCACGCCGCCCCCATAAGCTAACACGTACGGCTACATTACTTGTATATTTTATACATTGATCTTTGTTGCCTCGGTGCTTTTTATTTCATACAGTGTGCCACGCGGAGATGAATGCTGTACTGAACAGCAACAGCACTGACACAACAGGCTGTAAGATGTACGTGTCGCTGTTTCCCTGCAACAGCTGTGCGCAGATAATCATCCAATCTGGCATCAAGAAAGTCGTGTATCTGAAAGATGATAAACACGACAAGCCGATATACATGGCTTCTAGACGTTTATTGAAGAGAGCTCATGTCAAGATAAGGTAAACAAACAATGCTTTAAGACTTTTACTGAGCAGAGCACTTGTCAATATCTGGTATATATACAGGGCTCTAAGACTTTTAGGGAGCAGAGCGTATATTAATATCCAGGTAAATATACAGGGCTCTAAGACTTTTAGGGAGCAGATCGTATATCAATATCTGGTAAATATACAAGGCTTTAAGGTGATTACTGAGAGAGCTAGTATAAATCAGGAAAAATATGCAACTTTTTAAGAATCTTACTGAAAAAAGCTTATGTAAAGATCAGGTGAGTTTAAAGCTTCAAGACGCTTACTAAAGAGGACAAGTAATATAATGATATAAAAAGCTTTAAAGCGTTTTCTGAAAACCTCAAGTAAAGATGATGTTAATATAAAAAGCTTCAAGACGTTTACTGCAATAAGCTCTAGATCTAGTAAAAATCAGGTAACATTTTACAAAAAGATTGCTTTATTATTTACGTAAGGAGTGAAATGGTGCCGAGGTAATGGGAGAAGAGTCAATAAGTATTTTATGAAACTTCTTTGATTCATTCAGACACATGCGTTTAATACTGGCACACCGAGTTTCTTCCAGGCATCTCTTCTCCCCACCCCCTCTTTGTTCCTAAACGAAATAGAATTTATACAGAAAATATACACCTTTAACAGTGTCCGCACCCCCTTCCCGGAAATTGTAATTGTAATTTGCCCCCCCCCCCTCCCCCCCCGGAGAAAAAAGTCTGGAAGTTTCACTGCTGGCACAGAGGACTGCTTTAGGAGAGGTAAATGTGGCTGGGCATTTTGGATTGTTCAAATATCTCATACAAATGGACGGGCGTGGTTGAACGGCAGAGCTTTCGACTGCTCAACCGAAAGTCTCGAGTTCAATGACCGAGCTCGAGTTTTTACTTGACTCTGATTGGGGTACCTGCCTCACGTTATCCTCACTCATCCCATTAAATGACGAGGTCCATGGAAACAGATGAACTCTACTTCCCCTGCCCCGTGTGTCTAGTGATGGTGATCTGATACAAACTGTCCACAGGCCGTACCGAGGTCATGTCAGCGCTGTACAGGTGAAGAAAGTCAAGGACCAGAGCACTAACCAACAACCACAAGTCTAACATTAACAGTACATGGCGTACTTGGATCATATAAGCATTTGTAGATAAACGACCAATATTTTTAAAAATTGCAAAATAAATGTATTTACTTAAACAAATCACAAACATGCAAATTTTTTGTTTTTTTCTGTGAATTAATTTTTAACATGAATTATATTTGGGTCTATTAAATAGAAACTGTTATTGTATCGTATATTACGTTAAACACATAACAAAAGAGAGGGGGGATCACACGTATATAAAATCATGTTAATATTTTATTACTGTACAGTTGGAGAAAAGTTTTAGAGCAGGGCTATCTACATCACTCGCCCATGCTTTTCTGTTACTTACGATTTTTTCCCCATTTCTTTCCAATTCTTTCCAAGTATTTTCATGTTAAGAGTAATATGGAAACTTTCAAATAATAGGTCCCAAATTAGATATGTCACGTCTCCAGATGACAATTAATAACAATAGTCAATAGCAATAAAAAAAATTAAAAAAAAAAAACGTTTGATCTGAATTTTTTTTAAAAGTACGCAAAAAAAAAAAAACAACTACAAAAAAACAACAAAAAAAAAAAAAAATCAGATTTGAAAACAAGTAAAATCAAAGACACAATAAAACAAACGATTTAAAAATAGGTAAACGATGCAAATATAAATATTATAAAACATTAACTTTTACAAATAAGTAAAAAATGCAAAAAATAAAATAAAAGATTTAAAGAAAACTGAAAAACAGAAATCAACAATAAAACCATATTTGACAAGAAGTAAAATCAGATGCAAAAATAATACAACCTCTTTAGTGGACGCCAGCGAGAAAAGTCTTAAAGGTATTTGAGAGGTCCATAAATTAATCTAAAAATCATGCACGGCGTAGTTACAATTAATATGGTTATAAAATCCTGTCTGTCTGGTTTTTTTTCGAACTTTACTAAAGATTGGATGTATTTGATGTTTTTAATATTTTCGGTAACTAAATAAAAAAAAAAAAAAGCAAAAAGAATTTGGTTTTCACTTGTAATGGCGACATAAACAATGGCATGCTGTAACGCGATAGGCCGCCATAAATTTTATTGTACACATTGTAAGCTAAAAATAGAAAAGCTAGGTCATGGGGTTTTAATTTGCATTGTTATTTTAAAACTTGACCTGCAAAGTTTTGTAAACAATAGTTATCGATCACTAAGTTACTGTACAGCCAATCAATATTTGTCTTACGAAAGTGAAACATCCGGTTATAACTTAGGCTTGATGAACATAAATAGAAATGTAGCCTTAAAGTCAACACATTATTTTCAAGATCTCTGGATTTGCAACTTTTATAGCATTTATTCTAAAAATATAAAATTTCTAAATTAATTTTAGGCTTAAGTTATTATTTTTTATTTTTTTTAAGGTCTAAATCTAAAAAGCACGTTTTTATTCCATGTCAACTACATTAATGGAAGGAATCTCGTCAACTCGCTGGTGTCCATTACAAAAATCAGATTTGAAAAGGAGAAAAAAAACAGAGCCATAATAAAGCATTATACTTGAAAACAAGTAAAAACAGAACCACAATAAAGCATCAGATTTGTGTAAAACAGAACCACAATAAAACATCAGATTTGAAAACAAGTAAAAACAGATCTACAATAAAACATCAGATTTGAAAACAAGTAAAAACAGAACCACAATAAAACATCAGATTTGAAAACAAGTAAAAACAGAACCACAATAAAACATCAGATTTGAAAACAAGTAAAAACAGATCTACAATAAAACATCAGATTTGAAAACAAGTAAAAACAGAGCCACCATAAAACATCAGGTTTGAAAACAAGTAAAAACAGAACCACAATGAAACATCAGATTTGAAAACAAGTAAAAACAGAGCCACAGTAAAACATCATATTTGAAAACAAGTAAAAACAGAGCCACAATAAAACATCATATTTGAAAACAAGTAAAAACAGAGCCACAATAAAACTTCAATCCCTTATCAGCCCTGTATATCTGCAGGAACAATTTATCTCCTGGGTTCAACTCTGTGGCAACAAAAGCAGCGCCGCAGGTGTCGGATTTGTTGATGGCAACCGTAGCCACATTGACTTCCTTCTCCGTACCGGGCATCACGTGACCACTACTACTGCCTGGGTCAGGGGTCCGGTGTCTGCGTCGTATATAAATAGTAACAAGCTTCTCCGCCAGTTTGTAAACCGTCAGCCCGACGCCGTAGAGGCCAGGTGTGGGCACCGTCAGCTCGCCCGTCCTGGGGTTGAAGTGGCCGCCGACATTGCAAGTCACGTGACCGAACTGGGTGATGACGTCACCGGCGTTGAGAGTGACGCCGCTGGAGATCTCAGCGCTGAAACCCGCACGTTGTGTCTGGCTCCGTGTCTCTGTAGGGGAATTGTTTGATTGGTTGGCGTCAATATACATATATATATATATATATATATATATATATATATATATATATATATATATATATAAATATATATATATATATATATATATATATATATATATATATATATATATATATATATATATATATGTGTGTGTATATATCTATCTCTCTCTCTATATATATATATATACACACACACACACACACACATATATATATATATATATATATATATATATATATATATATATATATATATATATATATATATATATATATATATATATGATAGATGTACATACATATATATATATATATATATATATATATATATATATATATATATATATATATATATATATATATATATATATATATATATATACACATATATATATATACATATATATATATATATATATATATATATATATATATATATATATATATATATATATAGTCGTATATATATATATTTTTTTTACTGTATATATATATATATATATATGCCTATATATATATATATATATATATATATATATATATATATATATATATATATATATATATATATACAGTAAAAAATTAAATAATATATAGTTTGTGATTTAATCTTATAAAACAGACTCGAAACGTTAAACTACAACTACATGTGTGCAGGGGGGGGGGGGGCCGGAAAAAATTGAATGTTTAGTTTAAATTGACTATTCCGCTGTATTTGTGTCGCGGGGTGGGGGATAGGGGGAAATGGTTTAAAGGTTAGCATACACAGACGGTTATGTTCTTTTTGTATGACGGAGTTGGGGGTAAAGTGAAAGTTCATTTTTCGAACCTGACGCTCTAAGGGGCAAGTAAAGTATTGTTCACCTGTGTATGTGCCCTCCCATATAAAGGTATTTGTTTACTAGCGAGGGTGTGTGTGTGGTGGGAGGGAAGATGGGAGGGGGGGGGGGTGGACGCAGTGTTTCGGCCTTTTTCTCCGCCCGGTTGGGGGGGGGGGGAAGCACTTGTAATTTTCGGAGAGGGGGGGTGGGTGGGAGTAGAGGGGGGGGGGGGGGGTGGGAGTACATTTTCCGGGGAGCGGACACTGGTAAATGTATATTTTTTCTATAAAAATTCTTTTTCGTTCGAGGGGAGTGGGGGGGGGGGGGGGAAGGGTTAGACTTTCTTCGGCGGGTAAAACGATGCCTGGAAGGTAGGACGGTTTATAAAGTATTGACAATATTTGATTTAGATAGACGGTTCTTTATCACTATTATGGTGTGGTGTGTGTGTTTGGATAGTTGTTTTATGTAGTCATAGTTTGACCGAGGCGAAGGGGATGCTTATCTTTATATTTAAACAGTGTTTTTTTTTACTCTTTCGATGATTTTATATGGGCCTGTATTTTACTCGCCAGTGTATTGCCGAAGCAGGTAAAAAGATGTATACAGGCTGTATATAAAGTCAATGTGTTTGGACTAGCGGGGAAGAAGGGTGGGTTAGTTGTTTAAAAATTCCGAGAATATGTTTGCATTACCCCGGGTTGACATAAACGTGTCACAAGATCCTTGACGTCGCTGTAACACGCGGAAGTTTAAAGTTAAAATTGTACTCCGTTGGGGTTGACGAGTGGTTTTGATCGATATGTTGAAAAGCACAGGAATAATTATAGGTCAGCTGTACAGGATTTGGGTATAAGGGACCTAATTCTAAATTCTTGGAGTCCCTAACTTGACATTCCCTCCCCTCTCTAAAGAATCTATCTATATATATAATTCTCTTCTGGGAGCCGTTAGAAAACAAGCTGCAAGCGCGCGCCTTGCAGTCCCCTCTCTTCCTTTCAATCGCTACCCCCCCCACCCCCCACCCCCATTGGTACTGTCGAATTCACAAATTATGAATTACTGAAAAGTAGAAAAAAACAACTAAATAGCGGCGTATGATACACCGCGGGTCGGCTCGTATATATAATTCTCTTCTGGGAGCCGCTAGAAAACAAGCTGCAAACGCGCCTAGAAAACAAGCTGTAAACGCGCTCCCTACCTCCCCACCCCTACATGGTTTTAGTGAGCTGTGTTAACTCTAAATGTTTACAAGGGGGGGGGGGGGGGAGGAAGAGGGGGGGGGGGGTTATGGTCCTTAACGAGCTACTTATAGTGTTTTAAAGAAATATTTTCAGTGGCAGCGTTGGTACTGTCGAATTCACAAATTTTGAATTACTGAAAAGTAGAAAAAACAACTAAATAGCGGCGTATGTTATGCCGCGGGCCGGCTCGTACATTTTAGTATAATAAAATTCAAAGTTTCATTTAAGCATATTTCTCGCGGAAAGAGGGGATCGAAAACACAGAGGCGTAGCGACCCTTCCAGGCGCCCGGGGACAAACTTTTCGTTTTGCACCCCCCCTCGAGATTTTGATTTGCACGCACCCCCCCCCCCCGCCTCAAACTTTCGATTTGCACCCCCCACTCGAGATTTCCATTTGCACCCCCCCTCAGACTTTCGATTTGCACCCCCGTCAACCTTTCAATTTATTTTTCCAACCCATTTTGGCGCCCCCTAAGGTCGGCGCCCGGGGACATATGTCCCCCCCCCCTCGCTACGCTACTGCGAAAACATAAAATGCATGTATTAAATATAAACTCTAATCACTGTTGCCCCAAACCTGTAAATTTAAAGTGAATGTTTCAAATGCCACCATTTCGGTAAAAAAAAACACAACAAAACTAAAAGAAACCCTGCTATAATTACTAAATCTTTATAATATGTATCAAGAGATAAAAATTATAATATTACGCTTTAGCAAAATGTGCTTTTTAAAGAGAACTTTTGTTTCTTTTATAATGGTTAGTAATTTTATGTTATTGATGAATAAGTAAGATTTAAATATTACTTTTGCGTGTACTGCTTACAAACATCTTAGTTGTATTTTAGTATTGGCTATTAGGTATCCGAATATTATATATGGTATTCACCAACAATATAATTTGTAGTTCTAAAGATAACCAAATCTCTAATACCTTAGGACCTTATTAAATGTATATAAGGTCAAGTGTGTTTACCTTCAAACTTATATTTGTTTTTAATTTTTAATAATTCTCACTCACCCAAAGCCTGTATCTTCCCAGATAGCTGAAAGTAAAAGAAGTTTTTCGCAATTATAATATTTGCGATATCTAGGGCTGTTACTTAATAAATTTTAGAATTTAAATAGACATGAAGATTAACGAACAAACCTGAACATTGAAACTTCTACATTGATGATTGCATTTCTCTAAATCTGAAACAATTTGTGTTTGTTTTTCTGTCACTACATTTACATCATCTTCAAGGCTTTTCACTTTTGTTAGAAGATCTTGAATACCATTTTTAATTCGTTCCGTATCATTTTTGCTGCCCGTTTCATTTTCGTAAACCTCAGTTCTTATTACAAAACTATTGAACAGCTCTCCTATCTCAGTTAGTCGCTGCTCGAAATGAAATGATTTCTTTCTTTCTGACGATTGTTTCTCTTCCAATTCTTTTAGTTTATCATTTAATGTGTTTACGACGTTTGATAACTCTTCGTACTTTTTATCAGCCGATTCAGCCATGATTTTGGTAAGTTGTAGTCGATCTCTATAAATATATATCTTTCACAGAATAATGAATATTTTAAAAATAATTCCATAATAATTCAATAGAATAAACTGTTTACCACGGTATCAGCAATAACGTCTGCATATAAAAAATTTACATTATATATATATATATATATATATATATATATATATATATATATATATATATATATATGTGTGTGTGTGTGTGTGTGTGTGTGCCTACATGGTCGAGCTGGACTGCTAACCTGTAAGTCTCGAGTTCGAATCCGGGTTCAAGTCAGTAGACCGTCCCTGAGTCCACCCTATTCTGATGGGTACCTAACTCACGTTAGGGAAAGTAAAGGCGGCTGGGCATAGTGCTGACCACACTATCTCTACATATGCCGAGGTCACAGAAACAAGTGGACTCTACTTCACTTGCCCCATAGACCGTCAGGTTTGAAAGGGAACTTTACTTTACTTATAGGCATATATATATATATATATATATATATATATATATATATATATATATATATATATATATATATATATATATATATATATATATATATATATATACGCGTATATATATATATATACGCGTATATATATATATATATATATATATATATATATATATATATATATATATATATATATATATATAGGCATATACATATACGATTAAATCAACACTTAAAAATATACAAACGTGTGAATAACCCAATAGAGCTCTTCTACACTCAATCACAATATACGACCACTTATAGACTATCCACGAAACCGTAATTCATATAAGTAATGTGTTCTATAAATATGTATGCTCGATACGAGGAAGCAATACGACGAGCTATACAACCCTAGTATTGATCTGAAACAAAATATTCCATTGAGACCTTAAAGCTATTGGCGCGAGGTAACATTTGACAATGAATTCTATACAACCATAAAAACTACATAAACAATAAAACAAATATTCCTTTGTCACTTTAATGCTGTTAGCAATAACTAAAATTTCACAATGAACTCTATAACACCATTAGAACTACATCAGCAATGAAATAAAATATCCCGTTGAGGCTTTAAATATATCGACGGTACGGGTTCTGTCACGTAGTGTTATGTAAAACGATAAAAAAAAACCTAGATAACCCATGAGGTGAAGCGGGAATGATCTCCCTTTAACTGTCTCGTATATTCTTATATAACACTAAGGGGGAATGCACTTCTAGTGTAATCGGGCTATAGACATTTTTACAAGCTTTTATTTAACTTGCTTCCTCGTCCAGTCTGTCGACAGTCGGTCTGTCGCCATATTTCGAAACGCTCGATCGAAATTTCGGGCACTTCTAACTGAAAGATTTGTTTGAAAGTTGACACGTGGGTCAAGACTTTTAGCCAATGTAATTTGACATTGAATTTGACCTAATTGGACGCCTAGTTATTTTTTTAAAGAATTAATTAAATTGTTGTCCAAATTAATAGACAGCCTTATCCAACTATTCCGCACTATTATAAACGCGTTATCACGTTCATTACTTTTTAGCCATGCAATTCTATTGTAAATTTTAAAAAAAAATTTAAAGTACTGAAAAAAAGTAAGATTTAGGGGTAAATGTACCTTCGTGTGATAATGTCCATTTTCAACAAAAATGTTAAATGCACTTTGCCGGCCGCACATCACGTTTAATTCTTGTTTGTTTCTATTAAATTGTGATTAAATCATTGATTTAAATTTTAGCTCATTTGGATATAAATTATAGCTCATTTGATATAAATGATAGGCCTAGCTGATTTTGATTTCAGTATAGCTCGATTTGTTTTAAATTATAATTACATTATGGCTAACTTATATATAAATAATGTTTCATCGTGTTTTAAATCCTTTTGATCACTCTGTGGAACATTTTGATTTAAATTATAGCAAACATGTATTAGCAGCCCCTTATGCGACGTCCAGAACTATAAATGTCGCAAATCAATTTATTAAAAAATGGCTCTGTACTTTTATATAATACGCCTAGATCTATATGGCAAATATATACCAGCAATCTCAGAAACGAATTAACACTATAAACTGTCTTAATTCTCAAAGAATTAAACATACTATATAAAAGAAGCAATACGTACGACAGACAGACACAGAGACAACAATGAAGCAAATTGAATACAAAGTTGTCAACTATTGCTATCAATGCATTAATGCAGGAGTCTCCAAACTTTTCAGTCCGAGGGCAGCATTAACTATCAAATTTCAGTTCGGGGGCCAGTTTCTTCCAGGCGTGTCTTTGATTTTTCTGGGCAAAGTTCCTCAGCCATCACCAACAAACGTATTTTCCGCGCACAAAAAGAGCTCCGCAGGCCGGATGAGAGGAAGTCGTGGGCCACATCGGGCCCACGGGCCGTAGTTTGGAGACCCCTGCGTTAATGAATACTTTTATTTTATTTTCTAAATCCTAATAAGACCTAGATCTAGACCTAGATGCTGGTTTAGCGTTTTTAGGTTCGTAGCCTCAAAAGGATAGGACATAGAGCACCAACGAAAACACGAACTAAACGGAAATGGGAGAAACTGCACGAAGTTTGTAATAGCTGCATTTGTTTTTTGTAAAATGTAAACAAGCGCGATGGTCTAGCTAAAATTAAACGAAACTTAAATCTAATCCGTCAGTGTTTATAGACCCTTATACACAGTATTGTATTTAATATATCAATTATTGCTTGTTTATAATAATCTCTAGAATATTCTGGGTAACATTTATTTAGCTGTTTTTGTTTTCTAGATCTAACAAGTATTAATATGCTTCATCAAAGCATTTTAGTTTATATAAATGATACTTGTATAGTTCTAAGACCAAGCTCTATCTAGTATTGTTCATACAAATTATAAAATTAAGATCAATAGATGCTTTTCATCTTCTAAGTCTAAGCATTCGTATTAGTACAAAGAAAACTACTGTAGCTGTGTAGATTTCGAGATAATTTTTCATACAAAGCAGTAATCTACAGATATATTTATATGTGAGAGTGTGTGGCCATACTTCAGAATGCTATTGCCTCTCGTAAAGTGTATCTCATCCTGTATTGGTAAGTACGCAAAACGTTTCATTGCATTAGAGTTCAGTCAGCTCTTATGGGTACCTGACTTACGCAAAGGAAAGTTAAGGCGGCTTGGCAAAGTGCTGATAACACAACGTTTTCATATCCCATGTTCGCCGAGACAGGTGAACTCTATTTCATCTACCCTATTTGCCATCAGTTCAGCTAGGGTGTGTTGCTATTACCAAAGGTATTTTATTACCAAGCAGTCCCTCCCCCACAAAAAAATAGCATGAAATACCTCAAACATGCTCAATTTTAAATTCACTTTTTTGCCTTTTATTTTGTATACAGTAAATTAACTTTATAGTGAAAGTTATAACAAAATACCAATTAGTTAGAGCTAGACTAAGTTATGCTTTGTTAGGGGTCATCCATTTATGCCCCCCCCCCCCCCCCAGCGTCACACGTGTCCACTTTCGAAGGACCCCTTTCCCTAGGTGGACGTCCACAAAAATTTAGTAAACCTCTCATAACTTACTGTCAATTAACTAATTTTATAACATATAACGTGTATCCAGTGGGGTTGCGAGGTCGGGTGTCACCCGGTGCGGCACTTAATGATGTCACCCTCCAGAGGCGTAGCGACCCTTCCCGGCGACCGGAGACAAACTTTCAATTTTCGATTTGCACCTCCCCCCTCAAACCTTAGATTTGCAGCCCCCTCCACCTCCACCCTTGTAGGGATTTGTCAAATTTGATCTTAAAAGACTTTTTAATACTTGAATTAATCACTTAACTAAGTGGAATTATCATTTTTCTCTATATATTTTGCTTTTTTTTGCCTTGGTGTCACCCCCTAAATGGTGTGGAACCCCCCCTTAAATGGTGTCACCCAGTGCGTTCCGCACCCCCCGCCCCCCTCGCTAAGCCACTGCGTGTACCTTGCAAAGCTTTTAGTAGGCTTTTATATGAAAAGACTAAGTATAAGTTTGGTCTTATAGATAAGCGTTTTATTTTTTTTTAAAGTTTTTGCCATACCAAACAAAAGCTGCAAAGTATTAACATTTTTTTATATAGATAGAAAATAAAATGTTAATACTCTATCTTAATACACTATCCCTTCATATGCCGAGGTCACACAAACAAGTGAACTCTACTTCATTTGCCCTGTAGACCGTCGGGTTTGAAAGGGAACTTTACTCTCTTCTGCACCCGTAGGATCAGTGTTTCTTCCAGACTTTTTTCTCCGGGGGGGGGGGGGGGGCACTTGAAATTTTCAGGGGGGAGGGGCGGTAGACTTTCTTCGGGGGGGGGGGGGGTCGGACACTGTTAAAAGTATATATTTTCTATATAAATTATATACATTTCATTTCGTTCGGTGGGGCGGTACAATTTTTTCGGGGGGAGGGGGCCTTTGCCCCCCCCCCCCCCCCAGAAGAGATGCCTGGAAGAAACTCTGCGTAGTATGCATCCTCGGGTTCATGACATCAAATTCTATTTACTTTATTTCTCGCTTACCAAAAGGGCAGTCAGGATTTGTGCTATTGTCTAGAAAATCTCTGGAAAAGTATTTTTTAGACTTTTTAAAGTTTGGAAAATCATTGTTATTGTAGACTGGTTTTTTAAAAAAGTCTGAAAATATGTGTGCCGTTAGTCCACAACGTGTGAATGTGCGAAGATCATGTTCTTTATTCAATGAGTTATCGCGCATGGACACCGTGTACTTCTGAAATGTACACAATTTTTCATAGACATAAAAAAAAAAAATCATTGCATTTTTAAATTGAAGAGGGGGTAGGAAGGTTGCAGACCAAATATTTACAGTGGCGTAGCGAGGTCTGGTGTCACCCGGTGCGGCACCCCCCCCCTTGCTACGCCTCTGAATATTTATATTAATTTTTGTGAGTATCTGATGAGTGCTAATGCTCGTAAGGCTGTTGCCGTGTAGTGTGTAGTACACACTGACGCTTTCCGTTGGGAATACATTTCGGGTAATTAACGTGAGGAAACTATTCAACGGAGGCTAAGATTTACAATATATATGGCCTAAGGGCCTAAACTAGATGATTATCTCTAGCAGAGATGTAACGTATTTTTTCTCAAACACGTCCATCCATGGTACAAACCACCTCCCCCCTTTTTTTTTCAAGTGGTCTCGGCTGACCGTGAGACCAACGACCACAGTCCATATGCGAAGTTATATAATAATCTACTTTTAATCTGGTTATTTTGAGTTTATTAGTTGAAATAAAAAGACAAGACATACATTGTTTTCGGCTTCGTTTCAAAATAATGATGTGGCTTACTGTGATTGGTTTACACAATCTATTAGGACCTAGATCTAAGTGCTTTTAAACTCAAGTTTCAGTTGTTTGAAAATTTTAACAATGTACTTGAAACGACGTAAATTGTTTGAGAAAATGCGATCTCTGAATCTCACTTTCTCCCCCCTCCCCACCACCCAGCTTGTGAAAAAAAAAACTTAATTTTTTTTTGATTTGGCGGCGGCGACAGATACATCTCTGACATATTTAATTTGAGCTCTGTTTTTTTTTTAAATGAGAAATGCCGATTTTCTTTTTCTTTAAATGTATAATCCAACATTTGGACGTCCACAATGACCTGATCCCCCCCCCTCCCCGTCCACACGCTTCCAAAAAAGTCGGCTTTTTTTAACCACCCCCTCTCAGTGTGAACGTCATAAATGGATGTCCCTTTATCCCAGGTACGTTGTTAATGGGCTACAGGTGTTATGGGCCACAGGTGCATTGGGTCACATGTGCATTGGGTCACAGGTGCATTGGGTCACAGGTGCTTTGGGTCACAGGTGCATTGGGTCACAGGTGCTTTGGGTCACAGGTGCATTGGGTCCCAGGTGCTTTGGGTCACAGGTGCATTGGGTCACAGGTGCATTGGGTCACAGGTGCTTTGGGTCACAGGTGCATTGGGTCACAGGTGCTTTGGGTCACAGGTGCATTGGGTCACAGGTGCATTGGGTCACATGTGCATTGGGTCACAGGTGCATTGGGTCACAGGTGCATTGGGTCACAGGTGCATTGGGTCACAGGTGCATTGGGTCACAGGTGCTTTGGATCACATGTGCTTTGGGTCACAGGTGCTTTGGGTCACAGGTGCATTGGGTCACATGTGCATTGGGTCACAGGTGCTTTGGGTCACAGATGCTTTGACCATAGATGGTATGTCCAGAATTGATCCACGACTAAAGGGGAATTACACATTTGTAGTTTTTTCACATCTCGTTTGTATAATAATGTTAAGATAATAATAAGATAAGGAAGAATGAAAAGTTTGTATGAAAAATGAATATTAAAGATGTATTAATGATGTATTAATGATGCATATATTCAAATTTTATAGCAACTCAAAAAGTATAGAATGTATGCGAAAAAGATAGATATATAGAATATAGAACATGTCGACTATGATATTAATCTTTAAAGTAAATGATATAAGATAAAATGAACTAGAAAGATGGATAAAAAGATATATAAGATTGCTTTATAAAAATGTGCCTTGGTGTAACATAAAATAACATATATATATATATATATATATATATATATATATATATATAAATATATATATATATATATATATATATATATATATATATATATATATATATATATATATATATATATATATATATATATATATATATATATTTGAAATGAAACAGTATACCAATGTTCACAACAATAGTGATTTGAAAATGTATAAAAATTATATAATCTAGATGTTCCAGTTTGGACTTTTGTCACAAATTACAGTAAATTATACACTGAACACATTGTGTCAGTGGCGTAGCGAGTTCGGGTTTCACCCGGCGCGGCACTTAATGGTGTCACCCCCCAGAGGCGTAGCGACCCTTCCCGGGGACAAACTTTCAAATTTTCGATTTGCACCCCCCCCCCCTCAAACTTTTGATTTGCACCCGCCTCAAGTTTTTCTCTATATATTTTGCTATTTTTTGTCTTGGTGTCACCCCCCTTAATGGTGTCACCCGGTGCGGTCCGCACCCCCCCCCTCGCTACGCCTCTGCATTGTGTACATAACATTTGCGTCGTGAATGCTTATACACTTTATCTATCCGGTAGTATTGAATGTGTGTATCACACTGGCACCGACGCACGCAATGGAGTACATTTTCACCATGCCCCCTCTGCCGCAAGAAACTGATGCGATGTTCATCTTTCACACAACGCACACGATTCAATTTCCTGTAAGTCTTTAATGTTGGTTTTTATTTTTGTTTTAGAGATAAACCAAAGGCGGATAGCCAGCGGCATTATCTGTTATTTGAATAAAAAAAAAACAACATCGGACTCATGAAAATATTTAAAAAAAATTCTTACATGGAGTAAAATCGTATCTTCCTGAGCTCGGTGATTCATAGGACTGTGCGTTAGTGCGGTAAAGGCGCATGTTGAGAGTTTCAAGTTCGGATCCCGTGTTCGAGTCTAAAGCATGTCCTTGATATTACCCAGTTCTGATGGGTATTAAAGTTTCTGAAGAAAGTGAAAAGGTTGATGAGCAGAGAACTGACCTGACTCCACCCTTTGTGTATCCTGTCGGCCGCCTGGTCTTAGAAGAGAAGATTCTTATTTGATGTTAGTCGTGAGCTGAGGCATGCAGATCAACTGTTTCAGATATAGGGGAAGGGTGGATGTACTCAGGTGAACTATAGAGACAGAGTAAGGGTGGATGTACTCAGGGGAACCATAGAGAGTGAGTAAGGGTGGATGTACTCAGGTGAACTATAAAGAAAGGGTGGATGTACTCAGGTGAACTATAGAGAAAGGGTGGATGTACTCAGGGGAACTATAGAGTAAGGGTGGATGTACTCAGGTGAACTATAGAGAGAGTAAGGGTGGATGTACTAAGGCGAACTATAGAGAGAGTAAGGGTGGATGTACTCAGGTGAACTTTAGAGTAAGGGTGGATGTACTCAGGTGAACTATAGAGAAAGGGTAGATGTACTCAGGTAAACTATAGAGAGAGTAAGGGTAGATGTACTCAGGTGAACTATAGAGAGAGTAAGGGTGGATGTACTCAGTTGAACTATAGAGAGAGAAAGGGTGGATGTACTCAGGTGAACTATAGAGAGAGTAAGGGTGGATGTACTCAGGGGAACTATAGAGAGAGTAAGGGTGGATGTACTCAAGTGAACTATAGAGAGAGTAAGGGTGGATGTACTCAGGTGAACTATAGAGAGAGTAAGGGTGGATGTACTCAAGTGAACTATAGAGTAAGGTTGGATGTACTCAGGTGAACCATAGAGAGAGTAAGAGTGGATTCGTGTGAACAATAGAGAGAGTAAGGTTGGATGTACTCAGGTGAACTATAGAGACAATAAGGGTGGATGTACTCAGGTGAACTGTAGAGAGAGTAAGGGTGGATGTACTCAAGTGAACTATAGAGAGAGTAAGGGTGTATGTACTCAGGTGAACTATAGAGAGAGAGAGAGAGAGAGTAAGGGTGGATGTACTCAGGTGAACTATAGAGAGAGTAAGGGTGGATGTACTCAGGTGAACTATAGAGAGAGTAAGGGTGGATGTACTCAAGTGAACTATAGAGAGAGTAAGGGTGGATTACTCAGGTGAACTACAGCTTAAGGGTACTAGACCAGTCATAAGAATGACACTAGATTCAGGGGCAGATCATGTGTACGCTCTACAATCCGACCACACCGTCCCATAATCTTATAATCAAATAATATTAACACAATGTTATAATCTGTAAGTATATTATAAGGAATCGTATTATCCATGTTACCAAAATGCTACATTGCACCAACAATATACAAATCGCATGTTCTTTAGGTAACAGCTAATTTCGGTCAGACAAGTTTCCTTCTGCAGTTCAATAAACCCCAGCAAGTTGCGATAAACATACCATTGTGAGTACTCTATTCTCTTCATGTAGTACACTATATTTACCACAGTGAGTACTGAATTATCTTCATGTAGAACACCATATTTAGAACACCACAAATACCGTAACCTACTAACGAATTTCGTTTACAAAAATTGTATTTTATTCAGGATTTTTTTTTAGAAAGATCGTGCTTTGAATGCTATTTGAGAAAAATAAATCTTACACGATAGGCTTTGGTGCGTAGAGAGCTTAAATAATTAAGAAATTGAATTATTTTTATCAAATAATATTTATTTCGCAAAATACAAAATTAAGCTAGTCCAAGAAACTAGAGCCTACCTACTAGAAGCTAAGAATTGTTCAATAAACTAAAGATTATATCACAGAAAAGTCACTATACAGTAGTCCAAGCTGATTTCATGGTTATTCCGTTACATAATGAATCAGGATTGCTTCACACCGTAATTGGATATTATCAGTACAAATACAACAAAATAGTACATAAACAACTTATTTTTCAGTGAAATTACTCACCTGAGATTGGGAAATATTTTTTTTCAAGAAGAAAAACACTGCCTGTGAATTTTAATTATTTTCTCCAAAAAACAAACAAACAAACAACAACCACCTCGATCACAGCTGTCCAACCAATGTACACAAACGGAATCCAATTCGTATTGTGTGAAACGAAACACACCTATAGTCTGTTTCGAGTATGAATTTGGGTCTAAAGGGATCAAGAAGCAGCATGGCAGATTTTAGCTATTGCGTAGAATCATTGGGTGTTATTTCACTTTGTAGCAAAATTGATACAATATGAAACGAAGGGTTAAGCAACTTTATAATAATATTATTTTATTATGCTAATAATGACCCTTAAAGGATATTGCTATTTGTAAGATTGCGATTAAATGTGTGTTAATTAGAAACCTAATTATATACCTCAGTTTATTAGCTTTCTAATAATATTATTTTATTTTGGTATTTGTGGCACTTATTTGAGTATTAATATAAAGAGGTAGGTGATTAAACTATATTTAGATATCTTATGTAAATAACGTTCTTACAATATGATTTTATTTTGATAATGATGTAACTTTTCGTATATTACTATTAAAATGTTGGTTAAATTATGTGTAGACATTTTTTAAAATGTCTTTATAAAAAAGTAATTTACCTTTGGTAAAAACGTTTGTTATGTCATTTGACACAATGTGTTACATGATGTTTTTATTTACTTAATTGTTCCATCCTCTAATTTCTGTACAATTAACAATTTGATTTTCTTTAAAATAATATATAAAAAATAAATAAATATTAGAAACAATCGCGTGAACAATATTTCTATTTATAATTTCATTACTTAAATGAAAATATTTTTTTTTCTCTTTTTTTCTTTTATTATTGTTTAAAAATCGTTTTGATATTATTAAGTTTAAAAGTAAACTGTCTCTTTCTTAAGAACACCAGGCGATACTGAGAAGGGTGCTGTTATGGAGTTTTTTGCAAGCAATGATTTTCAAATAAATGTGTACATGGTTTTCGGTGAAAAAACGTTTGAGGTCTTTCTTCCTGTGCCCCTCGAGCTGTGGACTAGCGTTTATTTTGCATTTACTGTACAGTAAGAATAAACATAGAAATGATTATTAAAAAGTATTCAAATATTTAGATATATGAAGATATAAGTATGGCAGAGACGTAGCGATGGGGGGGGGGGGGGGGGCAGGGGGGTACATATGTCCCCGGGCGCCGACCTTAGGGGGCGCCAAAATGGGTTGTAAAAACAAATTAAAACGTTATTTTAGTTGCATTTTTGCATTATAAATAGTTTAAGGGAGGAGGGATGCAAATAGAAAGTTTGAGGGGGGGGGTGCAAATCGAAAGTTTGAAGTGGGGGGGGGGGGGTGTAAAATGAAAATTTGCTCCCGAGGGGGGGGGGGCGCCAAATTGAAAGTTTGTCCCCGGGCGCCGGGAAGGGTCGCTACGCCTCTGAAGTATGGCCATACATAATCGTTACAAAAACACACCATAAGCACACCACCAACGGAAATTGACATATGGCTAGACACATGTATTGTTTATATTTTTATATATTTTAAGATAAAAGTATGGCCATAAACAATCGTTACACAAACACACTACCAGCGGTAATTGACAGATGGATAGACACATTAATGGACAGACAAAGAAGCAGTTTCGGAGGAAAGTATGAATGCAGAAGAGATGGACAGACTGACGGACGTAGAGACGGGTAGGCAGACAACAGGCAGACAATAAGCAGTTAGGACAGAAAAACTGGTTCCATTTAACGTATTCTACGCTTTCTATATAAGACACAGATGTACGTGTATATATTTTTATTTAATTTACAGAGATAGTGGTGCATCTATTAGTGTAGTCACTAAGGAATCGAACTGGGTAAATATTATCTTTTACACGCAGAAAGGAAGATTGCGCTTTGGCGGGCAGGAGATACAAGACGGAGAGGAAAAAGAAGTTTTCCTTTTAGAGTATGCTCTCACCTAATAATTTACTCTTTTAAATTTGAAAAGATGTCTTTTGTTAGAAATGTATATTTTATTGTTCTTTTGTGTGTGTGTATATTTTGATATTTATTTTCGTACCCGTTTTACATGCAATTGGATAAAAATATAAAAAAAAAGAACTTATTTAAAAAAAAATGCGAATAAGATTGCAGGACTACAAAACATTAATAAAAGTTAAAATAACACATTGTGAGTTTAGTATATTACAAATTACGAGCAGACATTTTTTTATCCTTCAGCTTCCGTATTTTTTAAAGCTATTTAGTTATTTTCTTTTTAAATTCATCAATTTTTGTTTTGATGTGTATAATATAATTATAATTTAGATAGGAATAACATTAATATTTCTGAACTTGTAAGCTTTGAAACATAATAGCGAGGATTACTCCTTTAAATAAAAATAAAAATTGTTATCAAATACTGCTTCCGTTCTACAATAATCTCGTACAAAATTAAGTAAAAAACATTTAACAGCAGTAAAAAACAATGCAATATGAGCTTATATATATATATATATATATATATATATATATATATATATATATATATATATATATATATATATATATATATATATACTAAATTTTGCATATTTGATTTTTAGAAACGAATTTTATCAGATGAACTTATGTTATGAAGATAATGAAAATGCTCTATTAGGTAGGAAAACGCTTATTAAATGTGTGACGTATATATGCACATCTATCTATATACTACTAAAAGTCAACTTTGTTTACATGTTTGAATATTTATTTGTTTGCCTGATCGAAAATTGTGATATGTTCGACTCTATCTGGAAAGCTGTAAAATGGTATGCAGGTAGAGAATAATTTTTTAATGCAGACAGACTGTTGATCACAAATTTATTTAAAGACGTTAATTAATTTATTGATTTATTCCTACGCAGAATAACCCATTTTTTTTTAAAATGTTAGAACCTTGACTAAACTTTGTGGGAATAGTGACGTCACAGGTTTTTGTTTACTCTTTAGTACAATAAAATGGCGGCGTCTATTGAAGAAAATTGTGTTCCCATTCAAAAGTTTAACGCGTTCTAAATCTAATTTTCTGTCGGTCATAACTTTAACAATACGTCCGTTTGCTGTATTTATTACGTTCCAACACTTATATCAATTTTCAACTGTCTTTTTCATTTAGTTTTACGATAAATTTCTCTAGATCTAAAGATCAGCTATCGAAGGAAATTTATGAATCTAGCCTAGATCTAGATCTAGCCTAGATGTAGGTCACTAGATTCAATGTAAATTCTACATCTAGAATCTATTTCAGGCCTTAATTATTTTATATAAATCTTTGTTTGGCTTATTTAAGATAAAATTTAATTTGAAAGTTAGTACTACTAGACTTATTTTTAGATCTAGATCTAGAATCTATACGCGTAAATCAAGTTGCATAAGGAGACACATAGTATAGTATAAAAATTCACTTGTGACGTCACGAGTAAATAGCTAAAATGGTAGCGTAGTCAGCTCTCATGCAGGAGGCACGGGTTCTAGACCAATATGTCAGTGAAATTTTTTTTTTCAATTTTTTTTTTTAGATGTGAATGATAACGTTGCCTATCTGAACTTGGCAAGATACAGGGCAGGTGAAGTAGAGTTCATCTGTTTCTTTGTCCTAAGCATATGAAAGGATAGTGTGGTCAGATACATGCTCGGCTGGAATTGTTTTTTAAACGATAAAAACATGTTGTCTGAGACTTGGCAGGACACTGGGCAGGTGAAGTAGAGTTGAGTAGGTCACCTGTGACGTCAGTTTATGAAGGGATAGTCCGAAATCGGTGTTTTCGGTGTTTTTAAAAGATAAAAAACATATATTTGAATGTGGGGTCTGTTTTTTGTGACGATAAGTGACACTGCAGTAGCGTACCGAGGAGGGGGGGGGGACGGTAGGGGAGGGGAGGCGGGGGGGTGGGGAGGGGAGGCGGGGGGTGGGGAGGGGAGGCGGGGGGGGGGGGGAGGGGAGGCGGGGGGGGGAAGGGGGGGTGGGGAGGTGGAGGGGGGAAGGGGGGGGGGACATATGTTGGGGCGCCAAAATGGTTTGGAAAAATAAATTGATAGGTTGAGGGGGGTTCAAATCGAAAGTTTGAGTGGGGGGGGGGTGCACATCAAAAGTTTGAGGGGGGGGTTCAAATCGAAAACTTTGTCCCCGGGCGCCGGGAAGGGTCGCTATGCCTCTGAGTGACAGACGTGATGTTTTTTGATGGATGACCCCCGAAACCCACAGTTATCCAACGGATGACGGGTATTCTAGTATACTACTAAAAATCAAGTTTGTTTACATGTTTGAATATTTATTTTCTTGTTTGTTTTTTTGTTTGTCTGATTGAATACTGGAGAGAATCGGCGCTAGGTGGAGAGCTGTAAAATAGTATGTGGGTAGAGAACAATTTTTGTTTTCAGACAGACTGTTAATCACAAATTTATTTAAAGACGTTAATTAATTTATTGATTTGTTCATAGGTATATTAACCACATTAATTTTAAAAGATTAGAAAAACGACTTGACTTGACGGGAATAGTGACGTCACCTGATCTGTTTACTTTTTAGTACAATAACATGGCGGCTTCCATCATAGACTTTGTGGCCCATTCCAATGTTTAACGCGTTCTAAAGCAAATTTTCTATCGGCTATAGCTTTAATACTACGCCCGTTTGCTGTTTTTTTACGTTCCAAAACTTATATCAATTTTCAACTGTCTTTTTCATTTAGTTTTACAATAAATTTCTCTAGCTCTACAATCTGTCCAAGAAAGTTATTTATAGATCTAAAAATATCAGGTGGCCAAGCAAGTTATTTATAGATCTAGATCTAGAATCTAGGTCAAACCAAAGATTAATTAGATACATACCAAAGATTAATTAGATAAAAATACAATCCACTTTATAATCATAATACATTTTAGTCCTTAAATACTTAATATAAATCTTTGTGATTCTCTATCTAGATCTAGGTCTATCTAGCTAGAATAGGTCTAATGATCAGATCTAGATTCTAGATCTAGAATATAGATCTAGCAAGAGTTACGCAAAAACTAGACTTAAGCAAACGAGTCGTAGAATCTAAAGCTAGATAATTCTATCTAGATCTAGATAATTTCAGACCTTCATTATTTTATATAAATCTTTGTTTAGCTATGTAATTGGCTAATTTAAGATAAAATTTAATTTGAAAGTTACTACTACTAGACTTAGGTCTAGATCTATGCGCGTAAATCATGTTGCTTAAGGAGACTCAAAGTACTAAACTATAGTATTAAAAACATCTGTGACGTCACGAGTTAAATAGCAAAGTTATTAGTGTAATAGGCTTTCATGCGTGAGGCGCGGGTTCTAGACACATCACGTCAATGTTAATTTTTTTTTCAATTTTTTTTATTGTTTAGATCTGAATGATAAAGTTGCATATCTGAACCTGGCGGGATGCAGGGCAGGTGAAGTAGAGTTCATCTGTTTCTTTGTCCTAACCATATGAAGGGATAATGTGGTCAGAGACATGCTCGGCTGGAATAGTTTTTTAAACTATAAAAACATGTTGTCTGAGACTTGGCGGGACACTGGGCAGGTGAAGTAGAGTTGAGCAGGTCACATGTGACTTCAGTATATGAAGGGATAGTCCGAAATCGGTGTTTTTAAAAGATAAAAAAAAACATCTTTTTAAATGTGGGGTCTGTTTTTTTGTGACGATAAGTGACAGACGTGATGTTTTTTTATGGATGACCCTCGAAACCTACAGTTATCTAACTAGGTAACGGGTAGTCTAGTAATATATAAAAGAGAATAAATTAATCAAGTTTATGAGTTTTAAGAGTTTAAATAGATTGAGCATTGTCCAGCACGTGGAGATCTTTCAATAGAGAGTACAAAAAAAAAACAAAAAAAAAACAGAATGCCGACATTACCGGATAAAGCGCCCCCCCCCCCCAACACACACACACACACACTTCTCCATTCGGTAGTAAGCTAAACTCATTTAAAATATGGCAAAATTTAAAATAGTCTGATGTTATACGTAGTTTTTTATTTTCTTTTTTTCGGCATTTTCGGTAGGCGGAAGTAGTTATTTATGCATCTCTGGTTTCGCATAAATCCATCAATTGATTACAGTATTAATTAGGTTTTTGTTATTGACCATTGAGCGGTTCCCCGTAACGTCTATTTCAGTTCCTTCAAAAAACTTGAGTATTTAACTAGATTACTAGACTACCTGTTATCCTTTGAAAAACTTGGGGTTTAGGGGAGTCATTCATAAATGACTTCACGCCACTTTAACGCTTTTTATAATACCCCTTCGCACTGTCAAACATCGTCACAAAATGCCAGACCCACACTATATTGAGATATAATATTGTTTATAGTATTTATCTAAATATTTAAAAACAACAATTTGGTTCACATTAGCTTTATTAGAATCCTTTACAATAGACCAAGATAAAAAAAAAAACAACTGTTGTTGGCATAGGTTGAAAAAAACGTGAGTGTTTTTGGTAATCTACTTAATTTTCTATTGAAAACTGCTAATGTATATTTTTTTCCTCTAAATCTTAAGTGTGCAAAAATGTATGCTTAAGTGTTACTTGTGTGAGTGTATTAAAAAAAAGAATATGAATAAAATGGAAAAAAATTTAAGGAACTATAAAACGAAACAATTACAGGTTTTATTTTTATAACAAAATAATTAAAAAAAAAATGAAACTAAATATTTTTTTTTGCAATTACAATTACATTTAAGTTAATCAAATGACTATTTACTTTGAATCGCCCTTTAAAATAAGTATTAGGATGTTTTGAGTTTTATTCTTACATTATCAGAGATAATAAATATTTGGAAACTACTTTAATCAAACTTAATGGAATCAGAAAACATCTGTATTGACTGAAAAATATAATATCCAACTATTTTTTTTTCTTTACAAATGAAGGCAAGAAAAATCTAGCTGTATAAGAGAAATGAAGAAT